ATGTGAATTAATTACAAGTTTTTGTTATTGTTTTATGTTACTGCGTAGATGACAGTGCAACTACTGTAACCGGGGCCACTTAGGGAAGGACCATTAAATTTTTGAGGGGGGGTTGGGCAAAAACCCCAAAAAAATTCGAGCACAGCTTTAAAGAGTGAAAAAAAAAACCGTGCATAAGAAAAGTTCCAGAAAAAAATTCCAAATCATGTCCAAAAAACATTCCTGCACAGCCATGAGGCATAAGAAAAAATCCTGCACAAAATAAATTGCCCTCCCACCACCCCCTTCCCCCCTTCAGAAATCTAATGGTTCGTCCCTTAGACCAGTTAGACAAGAGAATTAAAATAATGCTTTGGGTAGAGGAGCCAACCAAAAACCTAGACTGCACAAGAAGGGTAATCAATCCAACTAGATAGCCATTGTCATTTTCTCATGATATTTTGAGAGGCTATTGATTTCTGCTGCTTTCTGATTGGCTCCACTACCCAAAGCTGGAATGTATTATATTTATTCTACAATTTAATTGGTTCTCACTGTGTAAGTGGCCCCAGTTATAGTAATTGCACTGTAAGAATGATAATCAGAAAAGAATTAAAAATGGATGAAGGGAAACCTGTAGAAAATCCTTGAAAAAAGAGAGAGACCTTTGTAATTATCGTAATCCTAAATGAAGGTGTATTACTTAATAGGAAGGTATAAATGTTGGTTCTAGATAATCATTTTATTTTGTCGTTTAAGATTTAGTTTTTAATATTTGATATATTCATCAAATTAAAATTACTTGAATTGTATCATCTATGATGGTGATGATGATGAGAATAATGGTGATGGCGATGGTGGTGACAGTGATCGTGGAGGTGATGATGGATGGTGATGAAGATGGTAATGATGATGATGGATGGTGATGATGATGGTGATGATGATGATGGATGATGATGAAAATGGTAATGATGGCGATGATTATGATGATGATGATGTTGATGGTATGATTATGGTGATGATGATGGTGGATGGTGATGATGTTGATGATGATGACAATGATGGTGGATGATGATGATGTTGATGGTAATGACAATAATGGTGGATGGTGATGATGATGATGTAGGCTTCAGTATGTCATAATTATAATCATCATCATCATTATCTGAATCATTATCTGAATCATTATTAAATTATGATGACTGTAATATCATAGTATCTTTCATAAAATATTGATATGGGACAAACACAAAAAATGTTTTCTATAGAAACAAATAGAAGAAGGAAAAGAAGAAAAAACTGAGAAGAAAACAGGTAAAAATTCTAAAAAATATATAAGTAACACAAAAGATAACCAACTCTGTCTACTAAATAAGAATGAAAACTAAAAATTTTATTTGCTCATTAAGACTAGTTTTATAAAAATCGAACAACTCTGAATTATTTAACAGAATGAAAAGCAAAAGGCACTGAGTTACAATGCTCGTCAGTGCATCTCGAAAACTGCGAGTTTCCCCGTGTGCCATCTTTCCAATTCTGCTCTTTTGAAAAATGTATTTTTTATTTTGGGGAAATAATTGTGCGCTTTTTGCGAGAGCTTTTATTTTGACTCATTAAATATGCAGAAATCATTGTTTGGCGATTGCGTGACTAAAGACTTAACACGAAACATTTTCGGAAAGCAATGCATTAACCGGCTCATACATCAAACTGGAATTCACGCGAATGTGATAAAAGAGGACAACAGCGATGAAAAATCAAATAAACAAGGGCTAAAGAGAATCGCCGTCCCATACTGTTCTCGATGCGGATTAAAATTTGAAAGCTTTAAAATGTTGAATGAAAATGAAATTTTGACATCTTGTTGCCTATATATTGCAGTCAATGTTGACTAAATTTTTAAAAAATTCATCGAGTAGATTTGCAAATGGCACGATTTCGGTACAATTTTTACCCAATATTCCAAAGTAATTTACCAACTTCTTTAGATAAGATTAGGAACTCAAAACTGAGAAAACTACTTTTCCACATTACTAACATGTTTTGTTTTTGCAAATTTTTTATACTTTAAAACTTCAATATGAAATTTCTCGAAAATGCTCTCACAGATTTTCTTCAAATTTTCTGAACCTTGAACAAATTACTTATCCTCCAATATCTCAAAAGCAATTTAAAAACCTAGGTCAAAAAATAGAGAAAATAGGTTCCGATTTCAGTAAAGACATGCTCATTCGAAAATKTCATCCTTCCTTTGAAACCTCTAGAAAAAAAATTTAGTATTGGATTGTTTGCGTCTGCGTATTTGCGATTTGAAGTTGCATGGTATCGCGCGGATAAAACCCAGTGGAGCCACCTTAAGTAAGTTTTATTTGTTTATACGTTACGACCTATCAATGTGCTTAAGGCAATGTTCATAACTTATCATCTAAATGAACATCCCACATTAGAAATGTCTAATATTTTCTGGTTCTACAAATTAGTTATCACTAGACTTACCTTTGATCTCTTCAGTTGGAGATTCGAACATGAAAATCTTGAAGGTGAAGAGGAGATTGGTGCTTAATAAACATAAATTTTTGGTAAGTACGTGATAAACTTGACAAACGTGTTTGCTCACGCAAGTGAGTCAGTTAACAGTATGGGGAAAATAGGAATTCCCGATATATCGTAATGACTACCCGGCTATCACAGAAAACTGATTTTCGAATACAGTGAGAAATTTCAAAGTGTTTTACTAGTTTTCGCTTGATCTTGTGATTGCGTGATTGCGTGTTGGATTCGCCTTATTCGCGTCACGCATGATGAGAAATTTGATTATATTATATCTATTTCAATATCTTATTTTTGAGAAATATTTGACGGTATTTTAGTTATACTCAAGGATTTTGATGTAAATATTGACCACAAGTGTTTTTTACTCAAGTTTTTTTATTTTGCATATTTCAGTCACGAAATTACAACTTTATTATTATCTCAGTTACAGCTAGGTTTGAATTTTTCCCCACTTGGGCAAGGACTTTGCAATTGCTTTTAGTCGCTCTGAACGTCGTGGAGGCTTTAAGACTACATCTTTGTATTTATGAGCATCTTGATAACTAATTTCTGTACTTGGTGGAAGTGTTTGACAGTGCTGAAGGATAGAGTAGGAGAGGGTTGATCAAAAGTAGTTTTAAATGGAGTAGAAGGAGACTTGGCCAAAGTTGAAGGTCTCGCTCTACTGGGCTCGAAAATAGGGGTCCTAAGTTTTGAGGTTAATCACCCCAGGAAAGAAGGCGYGTTTTTTTGTCTTGGGTGTAGCATAACCAAGGGCGCCAGGACAGACGGATTGGGTTTTAGATGTATGTGTGATTGTTTCAATTATTCTGATTGTTCTGATTGAATTGATATATGTTTGTTTCTAAATGGATACTAAATAGTGATCACTTATCTTTAAAAATAAACGTTCGTTCCAACCAACGGTCTTTCTGGTTTGAATCAGCGTACGATATGAATAGATTTACCACGTCCACCAACGGTCTTTCTGGTTTGAATCAGCTGTACGTACGCTCTGAGTATTTATCGCTGTACTATCCGTGCCAAGCAGCGCCGGCGTCGCTTCGTTAGCGATTACTCTCAATGGTGTAGCGTTACAAGCAATGTAGTGACTGTTTGTAATAGGGGTGTATTGAGTTACGATTATTATGTAATGTCATCAGCATATGAAACGAGTTTGTTTTACCGATTTAGCATCACCAAGCCGGACTCCCTCTAAATTGGAATACTTTTTTGTCTAAAGAAAAGAAAAGGTTGAAAGTTTGAATTTCGACTATAAATCGGAAAATCTGCCAATTTTGAACATGATTTTGACACATGCGAAAATATTCTTGGGCGTCCTTTGGTTTAGACAAATCATAGTTAATAGTCTATTAACTATGGACAAATCAAGTCTATAACTTTAGCGTCGTGGCGTCGGATTAGTGGCATCAAGGGTACTTAATGCTAAGGATCAATTTAATTTTTACACGTGCTATGAAGACCCACAGGATAATATTTCGTGAGACTGAGTAATGATAACTTTACATTTTACCCTGAAATAACCTCTGCACTGATTTACGAAACAAATTATCGCATTCGAATAAACGGTTTAGTTTTAATTAAGATATTTTATGGTAGATTAGTTTCTCTTAGACTTCGCGTCGCGTCTAACTCGTGGTCATTAGTTCTAAAGAGTCAAATGGGAATTTGATTTTCATCGTAAATTTGTAAAATTTGTAGCYGTACGTGACGTACGGGCGTACGTGGTTTGACCTAGAACGAATAAACAAATGATTTGAATGATTTTAAAGTAATGAAAAAATCATCAAAGTCCTTCGTTTTTAAATAATACTGACTTTAGAAACCAAATTCGACTGGACTGAATGTAATTTTTTAGATCATGACAAACTACATCCAGACAGTCGGGGTTTTAAGTTGTCATCGCTGACTTTGTCAACATTTGCGCATGCGCAGACAATCGACAATTATGAAACTAATAAATGCCAAAAACCAAATAAATACACAAGTGAGGATAAAGGAACCATTAAAAAAGGACAAYATTTTGGACGTTTGTCTTGCGGAAACTGATGTCTGACAGCCGAGAAAAAGTTTCTTTTAGAGACATTTGTAATGAACATTTCCTGGACTGATATCGTGTTTCGATACTTCCTCAAAACTATTTTTTCGTTGATTACCTGTCCACTGTGCCTTAAAGATGCTATTGTACTCATTACGAAAAGTCTTTCAAACAGAAGATGTGTAAATGGTTTTACAATCCCCTCGATTGAATAGACCTAAGATAACAAAGACAATTTTTCATAAAAATGTTAGTCAGTTTCTTCATCACTCTTTTATTTTTTTCTTTTCAATTTTATCTTTTCTTTCATCAGTTTCGTATGGTTTCCGTTCAATGAATTTTGTATTCTTTTGTTTGCTGCAAGTCATTTCTTTTCAGATACAGATGAATGAGATTCCTAGTTATACTGAGTTTCAACATCTTCGGTTTTTCTTTCAATATCCAAATTTTCTTTCTATGCTAAAGGAGAATTTGAAGAATTTGAAAGGACAGAGGGAAACCTTTCTAGAATAACACATCTTCATACCAAAATAAATTTTCAATATAACCACGCGGACATCCGCGGAACTCTGCTTTTTTTAGATTAAAATATCACAATAATATCGTTTTAATGAATGTTATAACAAAGCTCTTTTTCCTATATAAAATAAGTACACAAACAAAACTGGTAATTGTCGAAATTCATTGATTGATTCACAAGAACGACATTGCCTTCATTAACAATGACAATGGTCAATGGACGAACAGAAAACAAAATGGCGGACGCTGAACACGTCCGACCAACGCTTGGCCGGCACATTTTCATTCAAAGAAATGATACTTAAAGATTGATGGCATGCATGGCTTACTGGAGCCCAATCCTTGGATTACGAAAACGGCTGCTTGACGTAAATATTTCAAGTTTAAATATCTTAGCGCTAATTGCCTAGTATTAAGATCTTATTCAGTCCTTGTCACTTGTGACATTCGCTTGAACAAATGTCAAATTTCCTAAAGAGCAATTAAGACTTATCATCTGGTCTTTCTTTATCTCGTATCCGCTATAAAACGACTTAAAATTATTAATTCTTCTTGGTTAAAGACTAATAATAAAAACGTTTATTTATCTTGGGTTATGTTATTCTCCTCAAACTGGAAATGACAAAATCTACTTTAAACTTCGTTGTTTTTCACCACGTTTTTTCCCCTTCGAATTCGTACGTGTTTCTGCATGGGTTTTTCTTATTTCTCGAGTATACCAAAAACCTTTCAATATTCACAAGTACTTTCCTTTCAAAAACCCTTTTTACTGTACTTCTGAATTAGTTATTGCCAAATTTTCTGACGAGGAATAAAAGGAAGGAAGTAAGGAAGACGAGCTGGTAAAAGACCAAAAAACTGACAACAAAAAAACATATTTACCTTCAATAAATATTTTTTCACTAAACAAAGTAAAAACACTACTTTTTATATGATGTTATAAGCGAGAGCCGGGCAAAATCAATAGTCGCTTAATCTATCGATTTACAATTTTTTTCTGAACGAATCACTATAGTTTCTCAAACAAAATGGCGGAACCTCAAAATAAATCAATAAGACTGATTAATATATATTCCAAACACTAATTTGAAGTAACTCAACTTAGTGTATCTCATCTGCAAACTCTCGACCTAAGAGCTTTAAAATTAGAACAATTTATGAGAAATTTCATAAAAGGATAAAATCAGGCCTTTTTGTCAACGGGCATATCTACTGTCACTTTTACAATTGTTTAAAATCATATTATACTGTTTTTGGAATATTCTTAAGTGCGGATTTAACCGTAAAAAGCTTAGAGTACTTTGGCTAATAGACTTTTTGCTGTAGCTAATGCTATGGGTTGTTTGAAATATAAATTTTATGGGTGATTTACGTGGATAACAATTAATTTTGAACGTTTTTACATCTACTTTTTTCCAGACTTGTGGGAGCCACCATGCACAATCCATAGCAGCTTTGTCGCTAATGGAAATAGTAAAACCACGTTCATGCGACTTACTATGAACCAAACCTTCAAAAATTGAAAATATGAAAGTTTTGGTAGGTAGATTATTTACAAAGCCTTTTGTTGAATGTATTCAATGGAACCGCTTATAATTTTATCGAAGTAGTCAAACAACCTACGTGGGCTGATCTAAGTCGATCGGGGCATAGCCGTTAACTCATAGATTGAACCATGATGAAACAACCTCTGGGCTGATGTAAATAAGGGTACAAGTAACTCACAGATCAAACCCTGAAACAACATCTGGGCTGATCTAAGTCAGGGCATGGCTAACTCACAGAT